CCCCCCCCCTTTTAAAGACGATGCTACGTGCCTGGCTAATTCGTATAGCTTTCTAGAAAGGGGGGGGGGGGGCTAACAGACCCTTTATAAAATAATTTATTATCTAAAAAAATGCAAACCGTTTCCTTTTTTTAAAATTTTTAAATACAGCGTGTAAGTTGATCACTATTTTGTTGGATTATCGTAACATGTAGTCCGCGGAAGTTATGCTAGTGTTGAAGAGTTCCGATTTTGAGGGGAGATAACTCACTTTTGAAAATGGGGAATACGATGCGTTGTTTTTATTTTTCCGAATTGTCAATTTTTTTCAATCAAAATCGAACATGATTTGTCAAGAGTGGCTAGGAAGTTAAAACCCCTTTTTGTTTTAAAGGCATAAACAAATCATTCAGGATGTTTATTCTAAAATAAATCTTGAAACATTTGAAAGACTTATATTATCTAGAAAACGAAAGCAACCTTCAAACGTGAAATAGATAAATTATCTAAGAAGCGGAATTTGCAACATATGTTACGAGCGAGATTCTCTGTGTCTATGATAATTTAACAAGCGGAATCTATCCACTCTGTCTTATGTAAGTACTTTCTTAATATATGTTGATGTTTTTATCAACATTCCTTACCGTATTTACTCTCTCTCTCTCTCTCTCTCTCTCTCTCTCTCTCTCTCTCTCTCTCTCTCTCTCTCATATGCTGTGTTGAAACTACTGTAAGATAATTCTGTATTTCTGAACTTATATATATATACACTCTTTAACATGCAAAAGGGAAAAGTGCAGTTTATGATTAAGAATGCACAAAGCAATATTGACTACAATTACATAGCTAAAAAAAGAAAATCCTCGGTTCTTTAAAATTTTTGAACGATTACACTCGAGTCCAGCATTAAATTAAACTGATAAAGTTACCAAGGATTAATTCAAATACAGAAAAAAAACTTAGGCCACACCAATTTAATTTCTTGTTCGTCGGACATTTGATGAAAAAAGTACGAGCGGGCTAGCGGTTAAATAATAATATTATTTCTTTACTGTAGGCAAAATTTTTAGTGAAAAAAAAATGAGCCGAAAATTGTATTTTTTCTGATTTGCAGAGTAAATCGATTAAAAGTACGATAAATAGAGCGGAAATGGAACAGAAAACAGCACAGAATTCCCATTGTGCGGGAATATGAAATTAATATTATTTGTATAGTTTTGTTTAAATACGAGCGCGCGGGTCCGACGAACAAAAAAAATTATTGGACCAGGTGTGGCCTTATCAAGAAATACAACGGAAGGTGATGAGTGTGTAAATATTTCAGTATGCACTCTTATTATTCTCTGATGGATCGATTGATTGAAAAATACGAGTTTTAATACTTTCAATCGCTAATAGTAAAATTTTTTTTTGAAATGCTTGCTTTGAATATTGCTGCCTGACGAAAGATCAACATTATCTCAAATTTTACAGTTCATGATAAATATTCTATATATTCTTAAGTTTTGCAGCAAATAAAACTTTATATCTCAAATTTTGACAACAAATGCATATTTATGTTGAGAAGAAATATAACCTAGATAAACAGAATAACAGGAGTCCTTGTGTTTTCAAGTTTATTTTTGATTTTATATAATAGAGGTTTTTAAATCTTTTAGTTTTAAAGAGACACTTGTATCAATATTTTGATAAACCATGATGGTAGGAAATTGTCCCGAACAAAGGTATAGTGTCCTATTTGTGAGTGTTCATTTTCTGTTTACAGAGCTGTACAGCTAGCTGAATAAAACAAGCTTTCTATCAAATATTACCCAGTTAATCTGTCTACCTTTTTTGGTGAAGATTTATTTTGTCTTGCTCGAAGTTGAAAAAAAAAAAAAAAACAAGATTTGTCTATAAAAAACTGATGCCCCCATATGACAGCTTTGGCGAATGTTGTAGTTACTCAAATGCAAGTCAAACTCCAAGGTCAAGGAATGAAAAACGTTGTTACCAATAGAAAAGACTTGTTCTCAATAAATAAACACGTCAAACATGAAAGTCCCCAGACCTAACCAATATAAAATTATGGCCAAGTTTTTATTTATTTATTTTTTTGAAAATGTATGTCATACTCTGAGGTCAAGGTCAAAGTAAAGGTACCCACGGAATATATTTGCTAATAATTTAATTTTGTTTATATTCTCGCCTCTCATTGGTTGATTTCCAAAAAGGAACGCAAAACATTTTGTATAATCTGGTTTGGTATGGGGACACACCCCCTTGACGACCAGCTTAATCATCTTATCCATGCAATCCCCTCATTTCCAGTCCTCGGAATCCATGGAAAATTCAAGATTTAATAACTGTATCTTTAACTTCAAACACTTACTCGATCTTACCTCATGTAAACACACATCATGGCTGCTAGATCTATGTATCAGTTATTACCTCCCCTCGCTTCACATCACTTCCGTTACTACGGTTGTATTATTGCGCGGTAAATTTGAACTCGTAAAAAGCAACATAATTTTACATCCAAAGTTGTTTAATTATTTTAAAATTAAATTATAAGGAATGACTCTAATTCTTGGCCAAATTATCGAGTATAATCTGGTTTGGGTCAGTTTACGCTTTATAATCCTTAAATAAATTTTGATTGAGAAACTAATTTTGAGGAATGCATTACCTGTGACAAGGTGTTTACGTTTAATTTTTGACCCCTTGACCTTGACTTTCATATTTGATCTTATTTATAAGACACACTCTTGGTTATTATTTTTGAATTTCATTTGTTTAAGGGCTTTCACATTGAATAGTATATTACTTTTGTCAAAATGCTTTCAAATGTGCTATTATATTTGTCCCCGTGACCTTGACCGTCAGTGTGACTTAATTTTGTGTTGCTAACGAGAGCTTCCATCCACTTAGTCATCAGAAATGGGAGACTACAATTCTTAAAGCTTAATCTATGCAAATTTTTATACCCCCCCCCCCATTCGAAGAAGGGAGGGCATATTGCTTTGCTGCTGTCTGTCGGTCGGTCTGTCGGTAGGTCTGTCTGTCAGTCGGTCGGTCTGTCTGTCGGTCCACTTAGTTTCCGTTCATTTTCTTCGCAACCGTTGCACATACTGAAATGAAATTTTATATACAGATATATCACATAAATATCTAGGTCAAGTTTTATTTTGGGTACGATCGCGCCATTTTTGACAGAGTTATGCCCCTTGGACTTAGACAAATTTCAATTATTTGCTGCTTCCGTTCATTTTCTTCACAACCGTTGCACATACTGAGAGAAAATTTAGTATACAAATTTATCAGATGACTATCTTGGTCAAGTTCTGTTTTGGGTTCAATCGCGTCATTTTTGACAGAGTTATGCCCTTTTGAACTTGGAAAAATTCCATTTTGGGGGAGGGGGCATAAGTGTTTTACAAACATCTCTTGTAGTAGTATAAGGGGTCTAGATGGCGAGGTCAACTGAGTGCACTTTTTATGCAAATGAGGTTCAAAAAAAAAAAAAATGGGTCAACTGAGTGGAGTGCTAACCCTAACCCCTAACCCCCTAACCCTAACCCTAGCCCTAACCCTAACTAACCCTAACCCTAACCCTAACTAACCCTAACCCCCTACCCTAACTAACCCTATCCCCTTTAGCCCTAACTAACCCTAACCCTAACTAACCCTAACCCTAACCCTAACCCCCTAGCCCTAACTAACCCTATCCCCTTAGCCCTAACTAACCCTAACCCCCCTAACTAACCCTAACCCCTTTTTAAAAACCCTATCCTATTCCCTTAAATACGGGGTGTGTTTACATTGGTACGTTGGTACTACTTTTTTTTTTTTTGCTGACTATACAGGTAAAAAATGCGCCGTGTGCAAAAAACATTTCAAGAATGTCATTATGACGTCACGCTTCACAGTCTAGACAGTCCTATAACCGGTTCAAACTGGTTTTAGTGAAAACAAGAACACACACAATACAGATTAGAACACAGATTTTATTCAAGTGAAAATATACATACAATTACATTTTCTGTTTCTTCTTCTTTGTTTCCCTTATCAGTGGTCAGGGATAGACAATTTCCACTTTGTGAGTGGTGCTGGGGCCTGGAATCTCTCTGTTTTCTTCCTTTTTCTCTTTTTTGTCTCCTTTTTTCACTAAAGGTTTTTTGGTTTTCCCCGAAATCTTGGGTTTCTTTCAATTGCTTTTTCTCCAGTTTTTGTATTTCTTTCACTAACTGGTATGTCTTCCTTCCTTGTTGGCGAATCTTTTCCATCACTTCTTTTCTAAAATCACCTATATCATTATGAATTATCTGCATGATAAAAGCCATTTGATTTAAGATACCGCATATCATTCTACTGTCATCTACATCTAAAAGATCTGTGTTTCTGGTACTGTCTCCTTTGTATTTTCCTCTGCCATATTTTACTTCTGTCAAGTTAAAAAGTAATCACACAGAATGATCGTCAACGTCCAGCTCTGGTTTATATACCTTTACTGTAAGAGCCGTGTGCATCAATACGTTTTTACCTACGTTTTCTTATATTTACCTGTTTGCATCCTCTATAAAGTGCCGTGTGCAAAAAACTGAGGGTCGTGTGCAAAAGAAATATACCTTTTACCTGTGTTTTCTTATATATATACCTGTTTGCATCCTCTGTAAAGTGCCGTGTGCAAAAACTTACCTATGCATTGTGACGTCATCCACTGTATAAATACAATGTGATTATGACCTCACACTTTTTCATTTACAGTCTAGACAGCCTATAGCCTAGCCAGCCTAACCAGTTTGAACTGAATTTTTTACTGAAAGACAATAAAAATAACACACAATACAAGAAACATGTGTGTGTTTTCTCTCAAGTTATAACACCAGGTCACTTTTTTAAAAAACTTAGAATTTCTTTTTAAATTTTTTAAACTTATTTTTTTTTAAATTAACTTATAAATTTTTTAAATTTTAACTTTTTTAAAATAACTTAAAATTTTTTTTTCTTATTATTTTTTTTTTTTTTGGGTAAACTCCCCTTATAGTTTTTAAGAAATAAAATTAAAAAAATCATGTAATACTACATCAGTGTTATGTTATTGTATGACTTCATCTTTTATACAGTCGGGTTCGGGGTTTCGGGCAGCCATAGCGAATTTCGGCAAGATTTTACCCCAGTGAAAAAGGCTTGTAATCCACAGTGTAGGTCGTTTAAAGTTGTTTCACATTGTTTATGATTGTGATTATGTTATCCCTCACCTATATGTTTAATGTCAGCTATGCTAAATAACCCATTTCTGTGTAATTTGAGAGAATGTTTTTGCCATGTGGTTAAAGTATGGCGTGCTATTTATGTTATCATTTAAAAAGTCGATCCTAAATAAATCTGTCTTAAAAAATACATTTTACCAATGACATTTAATATGATTGATTAGAGTATAGGTATCCATATATAAGAGATATTATTTTGCATTACATTTAAACATGTTTTTTCTGTCCTGTTTATCTGTCAATTGTTGCTTTACTTCCTTTGTAAAATGAGGTTAAATTGAGTATTACTGAATATTGTTTGCTTTTTTTCAGGATCAACCAAGATGTTGTTTCACTGGGTTATTTAATTGGGCATATAATTGGACAATTCTGGTAAGTTTGTCTTTGTTTTGTTTACATTTCCTATATGAAGATCATCTTTGCATTTAATCATGATTATGTAAAGTTCTGTTTTGAATGTAAATGTACTGTATTTATCCTCATTTCATGTGATTTACACTTGTTTAGCCTGCATGTAACTCAGAGTGCATTTAATATTTCTATGATGGGTCATTCTATGATTGAATTTCAATCAGAAAAATATTCACTTAATTTTGGTAAAATACATGGTATCTTTTTACATTTCTATCCCTTTTGTCTGTAAATTATTGCTTTACTTACATTGTAAAATGAGGTTAAATGTGTATCACTGAATTGTATGATTTTTTTTCAGGATCAGCTGAGATGTAATCAATCACTGGATTATTTAATGCATAGGCTAATTGGGCATATAGTTGAAAATCTCTGGTAAGTTTGTCTTGTTTTTTTTTAATTGTTTATACATTTCCTATGATGGTCATCTTTGCATTTAAGCATGATTATATGGTTAATTTTATTACTGTATAATACTTATGTGATCTGATATCTCTAACTTACATTCATATAAACACACCCTTATTTAACCTAAAATATATTAACCCATGATTAAGGGATCTTCAGAATATTAATAAGTCCTTTTGTATAAATTATATGATATAATTTCATAATTCATTATGTATGTTACCCATGGCCATGGAATTCAGACTTACTAAATGGTGATCAAAGAGATATTAATTAGGAATCTAATAAGAGAAAAGGAAGAATTTACAAAAGATTAATCACAATAGTTATTTACTTTTTGTTTTGATTCTAAATATGTGGGATATATGGCATACATATATTTTCATTTTCACTTTTGTTTCTTAGTAATGAGCTTTTCAAAAAATTAAGGACTACATGTTGTACTTTGATGATGCTAAAAAAGATGTATTTTTCTGTATGCAGTACTGACAGATATTAAACAAAATTGAATCTGTTGTTAATAAAAAAATCTTTTAGTGTCTAAATAATTAATTTGATATCTATAATTTCCCATTTAATATTAACATTATATCACAGGGAAAGAATACTATAATGTAGCACATCAGGATGACCAGAAAAGAAATCTTAATGACCCTCTTAACTATGTATAAAGACTGTAACCTTATAACTGATGTAAGATAATCTGATTGTGTGGAATTAAAATTCCCTGGTGTTTCTACTACCCAAGATCTTCTTATGAGTGCATGGGACTGTTGTAAACCTTCTCCTGTTTATAAAAAATATACCTTGGAGCATGACACTTTATTCATAAAAGGTACTTTCAATATCATTTCTATGAGTTTTTGTTCTTTCTTTTTAATAATCTAGTGTTATATCTCATTTAAACCCATTAATATGTATGCTTCCAAAATCTTAGATCTGTCTGTATAGTTTTTTCAGCTCTTTGAACACAAATACCCTGATTCAATCTTTTGAGGTAAACATGATAGAGACATCATAGATGATTATCAGAGTGTGTATCACAATCTTAACCATAAGGTCAATTTAAATGGTCTAAGGCACAACAAATGAAAGTGAAAACTTTTTTTTATTAGAATACATAATTTTGTAATAAACAAATACTGGAAAAGTTACTCTCATAATAAGCCTTAATGTCCTCCAAGAATTCAGTTTGGACTTCCTCCATTAATCCTTGTATCTTCTCCAATGGTTTTGTGGGCTAAAATTCATGTGTCTTTAACAACACTTTTTCTTTTTTCTGACAACTGTTTTCTCTTATGTATCTATTAACTCTGACTTAATTGATTATATTCTTCTCTAGTCAAAGGTATACCTCTTTTATTATATAACAACTCTTTTCTTTTTTTTTTTTTTCAATCTTATGTTAAGACTATATTTAGAATTTTTTATTATATAACATTTTTTTTTTTTTTTTCAGGATTCTCTAGTGAGGGCTTATGGAAATGATCTATGTCTACTCTCAGAATGGTGAAAGACTATCAGATTATGCAAAGACTAACAGAATATCCTCTCTTGGAACACTGAAACAAGAAAATCAAACAGGAGATGGATGGAGGATTTAAGAAGCACATAGATAAATATGATTTCCAACGAATTTAACCAGTATTATCATAGACTGTGGTTTACAGGATGACAAAGTAACAGGATTGTATCATTTTACTGTCAGACACTGACTATGGATAAGATGTACCCATTTATTAAACTGAGATCTAGTCAAATCAAGTACAATTGTATTGAAAAAATGATTTTCTGATAGCATGAACTCTTTAAAAATTAATTCTCACAGACCTCAAAGTATCTGAATGTGACTTTTATTTTTACCAATTTCTATTGAAGACTGTTTTTATGTATGAGAAGTATACATTTAAATCTTTTATTTTTCATCTTATTTCTATAACCCCCTAGAAATTACACAGATATTCAGATGCTGGATTTAATATTATTATTTAACTTTCCTGGAATGGTAAATATATTTTGTTTGTGTATGTATCATTTTTTAATTTTGAATTTAAAATTGGTCTCAATAAGACCCCCAATAAAGATGCAAGTGTCCCATAATCTGTGGTTTAATAATATCTTGAATATCTTTATCATATCATATTCATCATACTAATTACATATAGAATGTTTGTAGGAATACACTTTGTTGTTTAGGACACTTTGTCAAGGTCAAAGCATAAGATTATTGAGATGACTTCTTTGACAATAATTTGTAACTTACAAACTTCACATCATAAGTACACAGATGAAGAATCAATAAGATATTTCTATAGATTTTTTGGATCATTTACTCCTGGGTAAAAGTTAGTTACTAACTGAGATTACTGATTTGAATCCTGTAATGCAATAACTTAGACATTGTGTGATAACTTATAGCCTTTATAAAAATTAGGTGCAAATTCTTAGGAAAGGATTGAAATGTTAATCAAATGTACAATGTTCAAGGGTGTTTATATGACTATTACTATGTAATACCTTAGAATTCTGTAAAAAATTTATTATCACTGCGTAGATAAAAATGGTGCATTACAGCAACTCTGGTGATTTACATACCTTCAGTCATAAATACATGTAGATAGGTATTTGGAAGACTCCTTTAGATTTTGAAATTTTTATTTCAAAAGTATAGAATTTAAGTTTGAAAGATTTAAAATGGCAGCATATCATTTGCTTGTGAATTAAAAAAATAAATCCAAACATATACATCTTTGGATGATAATTGTAGCATTTTATCAATTCCTGGACTTCGGTCTTGATATCATCCTTTAATGTCCTTAAAATTTTAATGACTGTCTTTTAGTTTTAGTTGAATTAGTTTCTTTTCTACATGTGAAAATTACATCATCCAAAGAAGTTCTTCATCTGCATGTTATATGAAGAAGACAATTTTCATCACAGTGAAAGAGATTGTTTTGTTAAACATATTGCATTGATGCACAAATATACTTTTAGATTTTTAATAGCTAGGGTTCATATTTCTTAATATGGAATGCTAAGTACTGTTGATTTCAATTTTTTTTGTGAACAAAGACATACTTGTAGAAAAAAAAAATGTACATGATGTGTAAGAAAAGCATGTGTAAACCTTATGACTTTATATTTGCTGATTAATTCATTTATGAGTTTCATCTTTGTTTTCAATGTAAACATTTTTTTAAGTAGGGGGCACACACCAGAAACTCTTAAAATTATTATATCAGGGTTTAACACAACAATTCCAAATGATTTTTGAACGCTTTTCATGTATCAGAAAGACAAAACAGAATGTTTGTTCACAGATGTTCCAAAGGAAAACAAACACAAAGAAATGATTTGTAATGTTCTTTATGTGATTCATGTAAAATGTATTTTAAAAGTGTACCCTAACATTTATCTTTTGCATTTATATTTTTGTAAAGAATTTCTCATAACTTTGAAAAAGTAGTCTTATTGTATAATATGGGTAGCTTAAAATCTTGTAAACTTGAAAGTTGTACATGATGTGTTACACATCTTACATATGTAACCATTTCATTTCAGGGTTTTCAGCATATATTGTAGTTTTGTCTTAAATTTGTTTACTTATGTAATCAATAATTTGCTAATACTCAAATTAGGAAATATATGAGAGAATAAACAAGAAAATCAGGTTTAAAAAATGTTTTTTACTACAAAGGGGTTAATCCATAAGTAAATTCAGTCTATACATTTAAGGTATTGGTTTATGAAATAAACTTACATATGAACATTGTAAGACAATTGTAATCATTAGTTTAACCAGTTTTTTTAAAAAAAATAAATAGATTCACTGTCAGCATGTTATTTCTTGTAAAATAAATGAGAAAACAATTTTATTTGAGTCAGTTTTTTTAATGTAAATAAAAAAGCATTGGAAGTTGGGAATATTTCACAAAGTTAATTAATTTATACAAAATTTGTTATACATAAGTGAATAGAATTGGGCAGCAGGCAAAGCCTATTTGAGCCCTCTTTCTAAAGAGGGTAATTGAGCATAATTCTCACTAGGATAGTTGGAATATTTTGATTTAAGCATTAAAAAAAACTATTTCATATTGAAATATACAAACCATGTTTAGTCATGCAGTATATAGTTTACACTTGACAAAATGTAAACCTTATCTCTATTCAGGGTCAATCCAAAGGTCAAAAAGGAATGAAAAAAAAAATTTCTCTTTATGTATCAAACATGCAGGTATTATTGCAATAAATTCACTGTATTCATTTTTTGTTCTCTTTCTATGTATGAATAGCTCTGATTTAGGCAATCAAAGCAAATGAGTTATGTCAAATGATGAAGGTATACACAAGAAATTAACATGGACAGAGAATTTTGAGTTTCCCTCAAATATGGCTGCCAAGTGATGTGAAATAAAAACAAAATGTGGATTCATCTATTAGGATTGAAACTTGTACATAATATTAATGATGGACACTATGACATTAAGAATGACATGAAAGAAATAAGTTTGATTCAATTATATGAACAGCTCTTAATCCATACAGTCAAAATGGAGGAAAAAATTTTCTTTATTAGGCATAAAGTAACAAACACTCACCCAATGCATCAGAATTTTACTTTTTTGAAGAAAAGGAACCTTACTTACTTTGTTGAGTTGACATTCATATTTTTTGTGTTTGACAGGTAGAGCAATGGTTTCTAACTATTATAGTGAGAACTTTTTATTTAAGAGTCATCAGATTGTTCTGATATTTTGGTTAAAATAACTGCATGACATCAAATAATTTGTTCATACAAAGGAATAAAAGATTTTCCAGGTTTCTTCTTTAGTCAGATTAAATAGTGTTCAACTAATATGTTCAAAATACATTATACAAGATAATCATCCAAGTTACACAAAGGTAAACAAATGACCTTATTATGTTTTAAGTCAAAAGGTCAAAGTGAGGAGGATATCTGCTATATTTAATAAAAAGTATTTATCAAGATATGCTTGAAAGAATTAAATAGATATAATTGGTTACTTAATGTTTGGATTTATGGTTTCAAAATATTACAAACAAAAATATATTTTTAAAAATTTTCAAACAAAGATTACTGCTTTCAACAAGAATGTGATGCTTTTTTTTCTTCGTCTTCAAAGTGTTTTGTGTAAGATATTTAACAAATAACTGTGTATGCAATCCTATTTAATGAAACCAATTCCATCCAAGTATATTCAATTGATTACAAAATATAGATTAAGTGCACATTTATTAATGATTGAGAAGGGAAGATTTACTCATATTCCTAGGGAGAATAGATTTTGTTTTTGTTGTCAGATGGAGGTTGAAGATGAGTATCATTTTATTTTAAAATGTCCACTTTATCTTGAGTTATTATTGGTATAGACCTAGCATGTATAAACTATTGCAATATTATCAACTGAAAATGTGAGTGAACTTTGTAAAGAGGCACTTAGAGATTTACATCTGTAAACTAGTTTTTCCATTGGAAATA